TTCACAATGTCACTGGTCTTTCGCACTTGAGATATAGCTTATTATTTTCTTCATTCTTTGCTAGGGATATTGAGAATTACATACATACAGAACATTATCATAGAATCACAGAATGATTTGGATTGGAAGGGACCTTCAAAGATCATCTAGTCCAACCCCCCTGCCGTGGGCACAGACATCTTTCACTAGATCAGCTTGCTCAAAGCCCCATCTGACCTGACCTTGAACACTTTCAGTGATGGGGCACTGATAACATCTCTAGGCAACCTGGTCCAGTGTCTCACCACCCTCATTGTAAAAAAATTCTTCCTTATGTCTGGTCTTAAACCTACCCTCTTTCATGTTTAAACCATTGCCCCTTGTCCTGGCACTACAGGCCCTGGTAAAAAGTCTCTCTCCATCTTTCTTTTAACCCCTTTTTATATATTGAAAGGCTGCTATAAGGTTGTCTTGGAGCCTTTTCTTTTCCAAGCTGAGCAACCCTGACTCTCTCAGCCTGTCTTTATAGGAGAGGTGTTCCAGCCCTCCCGAATGGGAGGCCCTCATTTTTGTGTCCCTCCTCTGGACCCGCTCCAACAGCTCCATGTCTGTCTTATGTTGGGGCCCCCAGAGCTGGATGCAGTACTCCAGGTGGGGTCTCACGAGAGCGGAGTAGAGGGGCAGGATCACCTCCCTTCACCTGCTTCTTGTTATGCAGCCCAGGATACAATTGGCTTTCTAGGCTGCAAATGTACATTGCTGGCTCATGTATTTATTTTTTTTTCCACACGAATGCTCTCATTCCATTCATCCCCAAGTCTGTATTGATATTGAGCATTGTCTCAACCCAGGTGCAGAACCTTGCACTTGGCCTTGTTGAAATTCATCATGTTTACATGGGGCCACTCCTCAACCCTGTCATGGTCCCTCTGGATGGTATCCCTTCCCTCTAGCATATTAAAACCAGTATTGTATAATAGCTAGGTGTTTATTTAACAGCTTGTGAGAGGGTGGCCAACCTGTTGCATTTGGGTTGGCTCTGTACTGTCCGTCCTTCCAGTAAGTCTGCTCGGCACTATGCTTATCCTTTAAACGAGAGCACGGGAAAGTACTTGGTTGGACTTCAGGCTGGATTAATTGTTCTGGCATCCTGCAGTCTGCTTCCTGACATCCTTTTTTGCGGAAACCCCACAGCTCTTGTTTGTTGTGCCCTCTACACGTGGGTGCCCTCAATCGGATGTGCGTTTGATCAGAGATGGCATTGTCCTAGAACAAAAAGAGGAATATCCACGTGTTGGTTACAGAATGTAGGCACATTCAGTAATGCTGGAAGAAATGGTGTATCACTGCTTTTTAGTCATGTATCTGCGAAGTCATATGGAGCTATAACAGTAGTGAGAGAAATGTTTAATGATTTTTACTGTTAAGTAGGGCTCTCTTGAAATCCCTCTGTGAAAGACTTCTCTGCAGAATTCGGAATGACATCAGTTAATGTTTAAATCACCTTAGAAAAAGGGCAGTTGCATTAGCACCTCTGTTTCCTTTTACTGCCTTGCGTGGATTCTTGCATGCCTGCTCTAGCACTAAGGTTTCTTTGTGAAATCATTAACCACATGTAGAAATAGTTCTAGATTTCTTGTCTGTGTTCTGTTGCAAAGTCTCTGCACCTTGTTTCTCCATGTTTGTCATCTGCAGTGAAACAGGAGAATTGTGTTGTCAGTTATGAGTGTTTGTTGTGGAAATACCGCCAGCAGACAGTGTTTATTTCACCTATTCACATTATATAGACTGCTTCTCTTCTCAGCACAAAGATAAGGTTAAAGCAAAGTGCAGGTTTGTGAGCTAGTATCAAGCACCAAAAATATAATTTCTGATAAAATAATAAACTTTGGCAGAAGGTTGCCCCGTATTAAAAAAGAAAAAAAAATAAAAATCAACTTTTTCTGGTCTCCCTAGCTTCACTTGTTTGTCACTAACACAGTTGTGAAAACTCCATTTGAGATCCAGTCCGATTAAGTACTGAGAGCGGTTTTGTCTCAGATTTCTGAAGTGAGCCAGATGCCTCTGGTTTGTCACCTGATGTTTAAAAAACGCTTAATTATTAAGACAGGCTTTTGTGCAATGTATGATATCCATGACGTTTATCATTACTGACTTTAAAGTTGAAAGGGTTTTGCTAGGATAAATGCTAGTTGGTTTTTTGGATTGAAAGTTGGCTTAATTATATTAGCTGACAAAACAAACTATATATCCCCTTCAAATCATAGAAGGGAATGATTTTTTTCATTTTGTTTCAGCCTTTTGAACTAGAACAATTTCATAAAAGTAAAATTTCTTTCATTAAGTCATCCAAGAATTTAACAGGCTATTTATAAAGTATCACAGAAAGGTTGAGGTTGGAAGGCACCTCTGGAGGGCGTCTGCTCCAACCTCCCTGGTCAAGCAGGACCACCCAGAGTCAGGTGCCCAGACGGCTTTTGAATACCTCCAAGGATGGAGACTCCACAACCTCTTTGGGCAACCTGTGCCAGTGCCCGGCCACCCTCACAGTAAGAAACTGTTTCCTGATGTTCAGAGGGAACCTCCTGTGTTCCGGTTTGTGCCCATGGCCTCTGGGCCTGCCACTGGGCACCACTGAGCAGAGCCTGGCTCCATCCTCTGTGCACCCTCCCTTCAGGTATTTCTATACATTGATGTGATCTCCCCATGCCTTCTCTGTTCTCCAGGCTGAACAGTCCCAGCTCTCCCAGCCTTTCCTCACAGGAGAGATGCTCCAGTCCCTTGGTCATCTTCATGGCCCTTCGCTGGACTCTCTCCAGTGTGTCCATGTCTCTCCTGTACTGAGACCCAGTACTCCAGGTGCAGCCTCACCAGTGCTGAGCAGAGGGGAAGGATCACCTCCCTCAACCTGCTGGCAACACTCCTAACGCAGCCCAGGGTGCCATTCCCCCTCTTTGCAGCAAGGGCACATCGCTGGCTCATGTTCAACTTGGTGTCCGCCAGGACCCCCAGGTCCTTTTCTGCCAAGCTGCTTTCCAGCTGGGTGGCCCCCAGCATGTACTGGTGCGTGGGGTTGTTCGTAGGAGCAAGATGCGGCACTTCCCCTTGCTGAATTTCATGAGGTTGCTGTCAGCACATTTCTCCAGCCTGTTGAGGTACCTCTGAATGGCATCCAAGTAGAGAGTGAAAAATAATTTCTGTTGTTGTTGACATATCTGAAATAATTTTTCCAGTGGCTTTTCTTGACCTGCTTTCTGAATTGCAGTAGAACTTTACGTTATGTTTGAAGGAGATGATTTTATTTAGATATTTTAATACTATTTAAATGGTCCATTATGTGACAAAATTCCAAAGGAAAATATAGCTTTGAAGAAATACAGCTTCCATCATTCTTAAAATGACAGTGTGTTTACAGGCAATGTGATAACTTTGGTCGGTTTAACATAACCACGGTTGTGTTCAGAAAAGAAACAGCACAGCATGTTTGTCTGTCTACTCCTACCCGTGGCCAGCCACGCCGCGGGTTGAGCACCGTGTAGTCTGTAGCGGCGACAGCAACGGGAACCAGGAGCTGTGCTCCAGTGTGGGTGGGCGAGGGGAAGGGAAGGATGGATTACTGCAGGGTGAGAAAGAGGCACGTGCAGTGATGGAAGAGTTACAAATAAAAGTACAGATGGAGCCTTTTCAAGGGCGGAGAAGAGGGAAGGGCTGTAAGAGCAGTCGTAAATCTGTAGTGGCAATTTTGTACCAAGGTATAGGGATCTGAAAATTGCTAGGTAAAAGTGTAATCTAGGAAGATAACTATATGGTAGAGCCCAGATATACAAAAGTAAAATAATTTTAGAATTGAGTGATTGATTTTAATGCTTTAAAGTAGCATCGTAACTATGGATGGACTTTTGGAACTAGATTTAGGAAGACAATTTTTTTTATCTTACTCATCAAAGGTGGCCTGTGTTTGTAGTGTAGGCAAACTCTGTTGGTTTGTTTTTATTTTACTTCTTAGTATAGACTTTTAATCACAGTTATTAACCAGAAAAATGTTCTACATCAGTCTTTCCTGTAATAGAATCGTAAGGGACATTTGTCCGTTGTTAGCCTTTGACAAGTACCTGGAAATTATTTATGGCAGATAGGGAAAATACAGAAGTTGACAATAATAAACCAAAATAGAACGGCATTAAGAGTGACTGTGAGTCAGTGCTCAATAGAAAAACTAAGTATTTTCACTTCTGACACTCCAACTATATATGCTAATCGTCTTATAGTGTGACACTAGATGTAATGTAGTACAGAATCTTTTACCGCTACTGTCTCTCCAAATTGTTGGAGAACTGTGTTGTTTCAGTAGTCACTTTGTAACACTAATTAACTTTACTTTCATCTTCCTGTATTTAAAGTTCTGTGTGATCCTTTCTCTGTGAAGCGGGGCGTTCTTTACCCTTGCTATTAGTTGATTCACTGAGTTGATTCCTTTTCCCTTATGTTAGAAAGGCACTATATTATCTACCTTATCTGGAGATTGGAAATACGGGTATCTCATGCGAGGTTCCTTGGCCTGACTCAAAGACCAAGTTCTGGTCTATGTATGGAGCCCTGTTGTATGTATCTTACTTTTTTTAACTGCTAAGGCCAGAGAGAGGATTATGGTTTGAAGATGAAACTTAGATTAAAACATTTGCTTTTTTTGCTTACCTTTGTTTGTTTGTTTCATATGTTTGAGTAAACAGTACATTCAATTTAATTTTTTCTGTTGCAGGTACTATAATTTATATGTAATGCATAAGTTTTTGAGTCGTGTGATGATTTTATTTTGTAGTTCTGTTTGTAAGGTAGGTTCTTTTTTTGAATATAGCTCAATATAGAATCCATAGAGTATATGGAATACTTAATTCTGTAAAACAAAAAAAAACCCCAAATCAACAAAACACCAACACATTGTAAAGATTGCTCATGGTAGTGGTCAAACATCTCAAGACTTTACTGTTTTGTATTAAATGCACCTTTGGCTGTGTTTCAGGTATTTGGGACACAGTTGTTAATGGAAGAATTCATGTATAAATACAAAATAAGAAAGGCAATCTAATCTTTGAGGAAATGGCAGGATTCCTAGACAACTTCCGGTGGCCAGAATGTGAGTGTATTGACTGGAGTGAAAGAAGAAATGCCATCGCTTCCATAGTTGCAGGCATATTGGTAAGTTTTGAGAGGGTGTGAATGAATCATAACCACATAGACAAATTTGGAAGTACGACACGGTTACATTTTTGTGTCATATATTGTGAAGGTTCAATCTAACTGCACCTTAGTCCGGTATATTGCTTTAAACTTTTTCTTTTGAGTATAATTGTTAAGCACATTTTTTACAGGTCACGTAACTTTGTGTTTTGTCTGATAATGATGTACCAGTTCTGCTATTTCTTCTTTAAAAAGGATTGAAGTTCTTAGTAGATTTTTGGCACAATTAGGTGTGTTAGAACTCCTATGTTATACATAGTTTGTATCTCACAGAATCACAGATTGGTAGGGGTTGGAAGGGACCTCTGGAGATCATCTAGTCCAACCCCCCTGCTAGAGCAGGATCACCTAGGACAGGTTGCACAGGATCATGTCCGGGTGGGTTTTGAATCTCTCCAGACAAGGAGACTCTACAACCTCTCTGGGCAGCCTGTCCCAGTGCTCGGTCACCCTCACAGCAAAGAAGTTTTTCCTCATGTTGAGATGGAACTTCCTGTGTTCCAGCTTGTGCCCATTCCCCTTGTCCTGTTGCTGGGCACCATAGAGTAGAGTCTGGCCCCATCCTCTTGACATCTAGCCTTTAGATATTTACAAGCGTTGATGAGATCCCCTCTTAGTCTTCTCTTCTCCAGGCTAAACAGACCCAGCTCCCTCAGCCTTTCCTCCTACAGGTGATGCTCCAGTCCCCTCATCATCCTCATAGCCCTCCGCTGGACTCTCTCCAGTAGTTCCTTGTCTTTCTTCAACTGGGGAGCCCAGAACTGGACACAGCACTCCAGCTGTGGCCTCACCAGTGCTGAGTAGAGGGGGAGGATAACCTCCCTCGACCTGCTGGCCACACTCTTCTGAATGCCCCCCAGGATACCATTGGCCTTCTTGGCCTGGAGGGGACACTGCTGGCTCATGGAGAGCTTGTTGTTGACCAGGACTCTCAGGTCCTTCTCCACAGCGCTGCTTCCCAGCAGGTCAGCCCCTAACCTGTACCTCGGTGCAGGACCCTACACTTGGCCTTGTTGAATTTCATATGGTTCCTCTCTGCCCAACTCTCTAGTCTGTCTAGATCGTATTTAGAATCTGCATTCTTGTTCTTAAAGCTGCATGGGAAATTTAGCCATACGCTGATATTTAATTTGAATAGAAAATGTGACCTAAATGCTTCTCAAAAAACATCAGTGTTAAGGTTTGTGCAGAACTTGCATGTCAAACAGATTTAGAGTCTGACTTAAAGCTAATAACTTTCTAGAATGGTTTATACTTTTAAAAAACCAATTAAACCAATGGTATACATGAACATTTATCATGTTTTGTCTGCCTCTGTAACCTTCCAGTCTCATAATACTGGTCCATTTTATTTCTAGTTTTTCACAGGTTGGTGGATAATGATAGATGCTGCAGTAGTTTACCCTAAGCCAGAACAAATGAACCATGCCTTCCATACCTGTGGGGTGTTTTCAACACTAGCTTTTTTCATGTAAGTGTATGTAAAGGGAGTTCTTAGAAAATAAACATGAGCTGTTAGACATAGTTTTTACTAGACAATATGGTATATGATAAAACTTTGAATCACTTGGTTATAAATCACTTATTGAGTAATCTTGTCATACCTTTTTGCATGGCAATGTAAAGGCCTTTTATCTTTTACCTGTGGCCTTTGTTGCTGATCATGGTCTGTTTATTCATTGTTCTGTCTACACCACCACCCCCCAGTCCGTTTAGGGTAAATTGCTTTTCCCATGCACTTTGGCTGAATGTAAGAAGCAGACCTTCCTCTATGCAAGTGGCTTTCTATAATAAGCATTTAGATTCCTAGATCAAAATTCATGTAATGCTGCCCAGTTGCTTACCTCAGTATAAAACATTTGACTGCGTTTTCTGTTTTTAAAGAATTTTTACACCTGTCTCTGGCCCAAAGCTTCCTCAAATGGAGAGGCAGTAGTATTATAGCTATTGCTATAAAGATGTAAATGTGGCAGTCTTGAAGGAGGCGTAATAGCTTTTGTTGAATCATACAATATTGGTGAGAAAAAAGGATGCATTTAGATGTGCAAGACCTTTTTAACACTTGGTATCTGAGAGTTTCTGGGTTTTTTTCCTCAGCAATGTAACTAATTTTAAGAAAATGTATTGTCTGTCCTTACAGAGTGTCTCTCACTTGAATGCTTACTGTATTCATTGTGAAAGCCAGGCATCAAAAAGCAACTTGTATCATAATCATGAAAGATCTGTATTACTGGCTGTTGTTACTCCTGTGAAGTGGCTTTAGATGTTTTAAAAACTTAAACAGCCACAAAGTGACCAGGAATATTTCAATCACTAAAAAGGGCAAATCTTTCATCTTACAGGTCTGTTAATGTAAAAGTTTTATTTAAACTTATGAACTAATACAGTGTTTGCTTGAAATCCAGTTGGAATCCTTTCATTAAGGGACGTGTAATAATATGTGACTATACAGAATGCAAAGTAATTTCCCCAGATTTTTTTTCTCATCTTAAAAAAAAAAAAAAAGCTAGCTTTTAACTTATAACTTTAAAGTGATTTTCTAAAAAGTGTATATACTTTTTTTTGTTCTTAGGATAAATGCTGTATCAAATGCACAGGTGAGAGGAGACAGCTACAGTGACGGATGTTTAGGAAGAACAGGTAAATTAACTGTAAAAATCATGCTGAGTTGAAAGATTGATTATTTAGCTGGTGGTTGGTTGCGTTTTTTGTTTTTTGGTTTTTTTTTTCCTAAGTGGTGATTAAACCTCTGCAAATCCTGTACAGCTGCTGGAAGAAATAAATTTCTGCCTTGTGGTAGGCTATGGAGCAGACATTCCTTAAGAACATCTTATTGTAGAATGTATCACAAACATTCTGTTTCCTCTGTATGTCCCCTACTGTGTGGTGTCTGTGGACCTGCTGTCCTCTCTCTGCTTTCATTCATAATTCCCTTACTATTTCCCATGTGGATCCCAGCGTCTGTTTTCACGTGACTTGTAGAATGCTTCACCAGAAATCTGGTAGTTTACTGATTTTTTTAAACTAGCATACAGTGGGTTTTTGTGTGTCTTTCATAAATCAGCTTGAGAGAATCTTTGCATAGAAGTATTTTTCCTTTCCCATGAGCGAGCGGGTTGATTATTTTCAATGGCATCATCTTCCTTTTTTCAGCAGGTAATGTCTAGCTATGGTAGATGTTTTCCATCTGAAAATACCTTTCTGAAGTTAACACAGGAAGGGTTTGCTTTATGTACCCTATTGGAATGCCATCTTTACCTCAGAAACATGAGTACCTCATCATTAATCCACCCCAAGTTGTGTTAAGTGATGCTATAGGCATTCCCTACAGATGGGAGGAAATTTCTGTTAGTTGTGTCTGCTCACTCAAATAAGGGGAATCCAACTACTATGTGTTTTATTAGTGAATGCAAATTTTGGTTTATCTTGTCCTTGATAAAGGGTTGAATCCTTTCCCTTTGTGCCTTCAGCAAGATAACATATTGCATCATAATAGAGTTGTATCGTAATTGGATCATCTGTCACTATGGCTAATACTCTGTGTGGTTCTCAAGAGTTTTTATTATTTCCTGCAGGTGCTCGTGTCTGGCTCTTCATTGGCTTTATGTTGATGTTTGGTTCACTTATTGCTTCTATGTGGATTCTTTTTGGAGCATATGTTACACAGAGTAAGTTTCTTTATTTTCACATACAGAAAACTACTTTTGCTGTCAGCCAGAAGGCAGAAAATCCAGAGGAATGGAAGCATGTGGTCTGTTCTTGTCAGAGCCATACCATTTAGTTTTGTGTCAGAGAGTGATACTATGAACAATGTTTTAAATACACCTTCCAACACAAATGAACTTAATATTTCCTTTGTTACTTACTTTGCAGACACTAACGTTTATCCTGGATTAGCAGTGTTTTTCCAAAATGCGTTGATATTTTTCAGGTAAGTTATCTGGGCAAATTTCCTGCCTTCCAAAGGGGTATCTGACTTACCTGCTTCCATGCACAGTGATGCTGCTGGGAAAAAAGCTCCGAAAACTGGAAGCTGACTCCAGGCTTGGACCTTCCACGGTGTGGAGCTTGCTGCTCTCAGTGGAGGACCCTCCGTATTTCAGTTTATTACCCACCCTGACCTTTACTCGAGGAGGGCGGCATGTATGTAAGCCAGAGGGAACTCCTGGGTCACTGAGTAAAGTGATGTACAGAGAACTCATGTGATAGTATTCAATGCATAAACTGATCAAACTATTTCTTCAAAACTATTTTTTTCACTCTGCTACTGTTTTCTACTCCTTTTGCTCCAGTGCTTAGAAACAATGTTTTATTTACCCCTTCTCAGCCCATGAGAGGTTCTTCATTCCCCTCATGCTCCTGTTACTCCAGCTCTTTCTGGTCACACTGAATTCACAGCTCTAGAATGTGGATGACCAAGGATATAGACAGTATTCTGGGTGAGATACTGTCAGTATCTTTGAATAATGGCAATAATGCTTTGATCTCTCTACTACAAATACTTTGGCATATATCCTAACGGCACTAGGTGGGAGATCCTGTCACCCTTTTCATGACTATTTCATACCTGTGGCTTTGATTATCTGATAATCAGAACACCTACATTTGTTTCTACTGGGTGAGCTTTCAGTTATTGAGAGTGATAATTTTTTTTTCCAAAGAGAATGATGGTATGTTTTGTAATATAATACTTAATTATATTAAGTGAAGTAAAATAAATTGAGTATATCATATGACATTTTGAAACTATCTGTATCTGTAATAACTCTCTTTATATGCGTAGTGCATTCTGTAATCCATTTTTTTTAATTAATAAGACAAAGCATTAAATAGTGTAAGTTCTGAGATCAGTCGCTGAAAAAGTTTACATAACCTCCTCTTTTGCAAGTTCTTACCCACTTAAATGACTGTGATAACAATTTTCCTGCTGGTACCGTATCAAATTCTTTGCAGCAAGCTAGTTCAACTGGCTCCACTGTGCTTCCCTGCTTGGAAAATCAGTTACCTGCTTGCAGAAAATAGCAGTTCCTGACTCTCTTCTGTAGTCTGGCACATGATTGAAATGGGATGCTGATGAAGGCAGACTTTTGAGAATAGTTTCACCATCCCTGAAATCTTTAGTCTTACTTCAGTAGTTTGATGATCATATTTCTTGCAGCTGCTTTTTGTTTCTGAAAGTATCTTTCCTTAGTTTCTATTGTACTCTGTGTGTAGATATATTTTAGGTTTGTTTTCTTTTGGCTTCTAAAATTTGTTTTCTGGGTATGAGTTATGAGACAAATTACAACCTTTTTATTTAAAAAAAAAAAAAAGTCTTTGTTTTTTATCCCACCACACACTTCAGGCAGTAACATTTGCTAAGTCTATCCATTGCTGTAGACTCCTTTCCTTAGAGCAGACCTAGGTCAGTCAGCGATGCCCTTCTCAATGTCCTTATCCAAAACTTTTGTTCCAATTGAATCAGATTCTCTTCCCTCAGTGTTGTTGCATAGTGTCTGTATTCCCTGAACCATGTGTCACCTTCAGGACTTTGTTTCAGTCCTGGTTGTTACTCTACCAGGTTTTTTTACTTAGTTTAACATGCTGTATTAGTAGTTCTCTAGTTAATTGCCCAGGTGTCTGGTTTGTTTTACTTGTCATTGTTTGTTATTGTTGTTCTCAGCGTCAATATTTCTTCTTTCTCTCCCTGATCATCCTCTTATGATTCAGTATGACTGTGCCCTTCTTTACCACCTGTTTGTTTGCTATAAGAAAAAAATAAAGTATAAGGAACGATAAGGAAATCATGCTTGGTTTTGTTCCCTCAACGGTTTTTTTTGATTCATGACAATATGTATTGGATCCAACCTTACAAAAAGAATTTTGGAAATCAAATTGTAATTTGCACCTCACCCACCGCAGGATCAATATTCTTTCTGATTTGCTCATAAAAATTTAATTCCTTAGATTCTCTCCTAGCATGATGCATTATGAGACTTGTTGCTCTGTAACTCTTGTGGATCAGTCTTAGAATTTCTTAAATACCAGAATTTTTTCCTTCAGAAGGGCAGGTGCTTTTACTGTGAGACTGGCTATTTTATCTGAGTAGTTGCTTCAGCTGGATCTCTCAGTTTTAGCAATGCGTAGTAAATGGAAGATAAGTACAAAAACCAGATGCTGACTTGAATAAAAGTTAAGGTTACTGGAGGGATGTTGCTTTGCAGTGTAGATAGTGTAAGATTATAAGGATACTATTAAAATTATTTTTTCCGTGTTATATAAGGTCTGATTTTTTTTTTCCCTTTTTTTTTCCCCCCCTTTAGTACGCTGATCTACAAGTTTGGAAGAACAGAAGAGTTATGGGGATGAGAGATCACGTATAGCATTGTCTATGCCATAGTTGCTATGTCGTACTATGTATGTAGATATATTTACATTTATTTGTTCTTGTTTTGCTTTCTAAATTGTATGAACTGAGACAAATTCCGGTTTTCGTAATAAGCTCCCTCTTTTCACAGGACAGACTTGTGAATATGTACATATGACTGTATATATCTTAAAAAGGGAACGCCAGGCTTTCTTTCTGAAGTCTTCGGGCTCATTTCTTCAAATACATGGGTTTCCATCAGCTCCCAAGACTTGATCTTACCAAACCTTCACATGTGTCAGAGACTTCAGTGGCGATATTAGTGAACAAGCAGGATAAAGCCCGTAGCTGATAAAAGGGGTTATTACTTTTCACACGTAGGTGAGCTAGAGCCAATTTTGCAAGGGCTGCCCGCATAACGTGAAGTAGTCAGTCAGCGTGTGGAAGGGACCCAGCTAAGCCTGTATTTCATGAGGGTAAATTCTGTTGTATGCTGGGATAAGAGTTGATTTTAAGAATTTTATATAACTGTTGAGAAAAATATAAAGTAGCTATTTTTTTGTAAAAGGTTCTGAATTTTTAAACAAGGCCCTATATTAAGCAGGTTCTGCATGGCAAATCAAACTGTTGCTGACTTCTGATTGCTATAGCACAAATGACATTTGGTAGCACCACAGTCCTTAGAATTAATTTCATGCTGTTCAGTGTAATAGATACCAATTAGTATTTCATGTATTTTCTAATATTGGAATAAGAAAAAAACCCAAACTGATGCCAGTCATACTTAAGGAATATAAAGAGTAAATGAGAGTCAGACTAACATCTTTAAAATTATGCTAGCATAATTTTCTTCAGGGGAAGCTTTTTGCTGATAAACGAAGTTATCCTGCTACCTATTACCTTTTCGATTTAAAAGGTGAGCATTTCAAGTGGAGATATAGCAGATGTATTTATTGCTCACAATCTTACCTTGAAATAATTGCCAGTTTATATGACTACCATTTGCCCCAGTTAAAATATATTTATCTCCTAAATTTCACGGGCACTTTACAGGAATGCTTCCAGTATTGAAATTCAGCTCCTTCTAGCTGGAGTATGCAGAAAGGGAGAACGATGTTTTATAGCTTTGAACTGATCTTGCATCTTCATCTTGCTGTTGGTGACTTCCTTGTCTTATAAATTCTGTGTGGGTGGTGTTTTGGTTGTTGGTTTTTTTTTTTAAAGCATTTGAACCTACCTTGTATCTAAAAGCTTTTAGAACTTCCCACATATCAAGATTGCTGACCAAGTGGTAGTAAACTGCAGAATGTAACTTCTGTGCACGGTTACCGTGTACTGTTAGTTATCTAATTGCTCCCTTGTGGGAATCTCTCCAGTGGACAGAATATGAAGCAAATACTGCAGCTGAAATTGTGCTACTGGCTAAATAACTTCGTCCCGATGTCACCATCCTGCAGTGAGTTACCATGTATTCGATGGTGTTAATCACAGCTTTGTACATAAGTTGTCCGTTTGGTTGTAATTTCAGAAAACTGCAATAAACTTTCTCTCATGTTCTCAAAATAGCAAACTGCACAAGGTGATTGTACAGTAGTACTCTACTTAATAGCTCAAGTAGTACTGACTGTTAAGCAAGTCTTACACCAGCTAGTAAGTACAACCAAGGGTTTTGTTTTCAGGTCTGTCATTATCTTGCTTGGGAAGGTTTTGTTGTAAGTGAGAAACAAGTGTAGCCTGTAACCAATTCCATTTACAGTATCTTGTACCTGACACTTAAACAGCACAAGCCAAGCATTTGGCTCTGGAAGAACTCTTACAGTGTGCTTTAATGGAAGTTCCCTGTTAAAAAACAGTTTTCTTAAGAGCAGGGCGAGAGCTCCTTTCTGAGGTTACCTGCATCTTCTACCAGAAGATTGCTTTCTTGCAGGCTTGTTTTAGATAATGCCTTGGTGTGCTACAGTTGGCAGTTGTGAAGATTAACTCCTGAGTTACTCTTCACAAAAGGTTTTTAAAATCCTGTTTGTGTAACTGTAAGCCTATTTAGTAACAACTCTAACAGAAGTCATGTAGGGTGTATTCAGCAAGTTGGATGCTGTATTGCTAAACATTCACATATGTTTTAACTGCTGCCTTATTTACGTCCTCTGTTATGCATCTAGGTGGTTCCTCTTGCGAGCCTGTGGTTCTTCAGTTGTTTACAGCACAGTGTATAAAAAGAACATGGATGAACTTAAAAGGTATCATGCAGCTTGTGGCTGATTTGCAAATTCTTATCACTTGAGGTATGACTAAGTCTTTGGCCAACTACGTTGTTGTTGTTGGCATGTTGCCCAATCACAATTGATTAGATTAGTTCTGCGAGGAAACAACCTCATGAAGCTTTTGAAAAAAAAATGTTAGTGCTTTTTCATGCTAGTTGTGTGTATTCCTGGAAGGAGTAGAACAGCATTACCTTGGATAAGCCACGGCTCTGACAGTGACCAGATTCATTAACAGACCTAAGTAACTCAAACAAGTTATTTGCAAATAAAGAAGCATATTTATTTTTTTTTAAACAACTTGTATCAAACCCAGGAAAAACATGAAACAAATAAAACCAATCTTTTTAGTACAGAAGTGGTTCATTTGTTCGTTGTGCTTTATTAGATGCCTTCCAGACCTCCCGGGATTGTGATGTGAGGCTTAAGGTGTAGTCTTCTGGTTTAAGGGACTCAAACCACAACCCGCAGTCAACTTTTCATGTGCAGGACTAATCTGATTGATAGTCAACAAGAAATTTTAGTGTCTGATAGTTACCAATAAATGTTATATAAATTTTGAGCAAAATTATTTTAAAGTTTCTTTTGCTGTGAACAATGCTTGTCTCGCTGCAAAAGATTAATGCTTCTCATGAATGTGTCACGAGGCAGATAGTAGGAGGCCCTTCTTGTAGCAGTTCTTTGCATTAGGTACATGCTGAGGAAAGTAAATTTCTTGTTAGATTGCCATTTTTATCTGGAGGGAAGAAGCTGCCACAGAAGACTGCATGTACTTAAAATGATTCAGAAAAGCATCCCGGGGTGGATATAATACACATTGAATGCTAACACAGCCTTCACAAATAGGCAACAAACCAAAAGCACTGTAAGAGTAATTCATGGTTCAATTATTCACTCAACAAAAAATTCCAGGTTATACTACATCCTACTGTAAAGTGCCATTACTTCTCGAAGCTTTATTTCAATTTAGGGTGGGAAATACGATGATGCTAATGTAACAATTTTATAACCATCTGTCTTTCTTAAGGCAATTTAGTGTTCATTTCCCTTTCATGTTCCACCTGTTCAGTCTCTTTGGCAGAACACAGTTGCTGTTGTAGTACAGCAGAAGCCATTTAACGAAAGGCTCAGGGTCCACGCTATTCTCAGGAAGCAACATCTTGCTCAGGATTTGTCAATGGCTGCATTTTGTCCAGAGCTGGCTGTCTGTCCTGCCAGCAGCCACGTGGCACTGCTTGTGGGCAGGAGCCTCTGCAATGACTCTGTACAGGCGTTCTCACTAAGGCGTCACTTAAGTTATGTCACTGGCACTGGAGACGCTGCATGAATGAGCTTGACCATCCAAACTGCTGCCACAGGCTTGGTTTCCTTCTCCACAAAGTACAACAGATAAGGAATCATGGGGGTCATCCTCGGCATAGTTGTCCAACACCTCTAAGCCAGGCATACTGGGGTCCCTCAAATACTGGAAAAAGCCAGAAACAACAGTTTAGGTATCTCTCCACAGAAGATTATTAGAAATTACAGAGACAGAACAGGTACCGCCAGCTACAGGCAAGTTGCTTCAGACCAGAATTCACAGCAAGAGCTGCTAAGTGTATATTCTATTCTGGATTTCCTTGCAACTATGTTGAACAAGGAGAAAGTTAGAAATACCTTATTTCTTTGGGGGGGGGGGAACCAACCCAAACAACAATCATGCAAACATCCATTTAAGCTAGTTAAAGCAGCTTGCATTTCCTTTTTTTTTTTTTTTTTTTTTTAAAATAAGTTTTGGCTAATATTCTTTTCATGTTAGTTCAAGCAAATTCCTACACGTTAAGAGCAAACCACAAAAGAACATGCTTCTTTATCACACTGCTGAGGACCTGTTCCCCCAGTTGCAGCAATCTAGCAACTCACAGCTTGTCTAAAGCACTGATGGAGCAAAAGAGCTCTAAGATTCTGGTTTGTTTGGTGTCAGGCAATTCAGATCTGCATCTTTTATAGTTACCAGAAAAATCTAGTGGTATTCTTCTCGTGTAATTACGTTTTGCTTTGACTTCCCCTCTGCTCCCCTTTCCTCCAGCATTAAGTCATCAGCTTTACAATGAATGCATGATCAAAGAAAGGAGCATTAGAAAAAAACATGTAAGCCACCCCCTGCCACCCCCATGTACTCTCCTTATCACTAAGCTGATCTTGTGTTTCACAGGGAATTGGAGCCGTCTACTACTAAAAAAAAAAATAATCTGCCATTGAACACTTTTTCCCCTGATTTAAAAAAAAAAAGAAAAATGAAAATGTCTGGAACACAGACACTTTCAGATTGTGAAAAGACGGATGCGGCTTATAGATTTACTCAAAAGCTTGTTCTGTACTGTAGGAGGTGTCATAATCTGGCCAAGATGGGACCGTAGCTCAAGTCATGTCTGTTGCGGGACAAAATTAACCTTAGTTTCAGTTAAAAGGCACCGCTTTCTCTGTAATCACAGCAAAGCTAATGAGCAACAGGATTATTTTTTTCAGGTGTATTAAAAACAAATGTTTCGTATCAGAACCCCAAGTACACCTACTTTAGCAAATTCAAGACATAAATGAACCTCAGTTTGGTTTTTGCTATCTGAAGGTGTTTCTGCAGTAGAACTGCTCCCTATAACTCAGATGCTGAAAGCTCAGATCCTTCTGTAAAAGAAGGAAGCATGATTTTTCTGACAAATCTAAAAGAGTACACACGGAACTGCTTTAAAATAATCGGTACTCTGTACTCATGGAAAGTGTTTTAAGAGGAGAAGCCTTAGGCTGGTTGATCCCTTTCAGAAATACACATTTTAAAAATTGTGCATATTTACTGATTTTCCTTAATTTCTTATCGGTGTTTTGCCCAAAACCGGGATCACCATTGCTCAAGAGTATCTACTTTTGCTGCACCTTTTCCAGATTAATACAATTACTCCAGAACATGATGACAGACTCTGTTCTTGCAAGTCCTTTGCATGAAATGCTGCACTATTTTAGTACAACTGTACAAGGAATTTTTTTTTTCTATGTGAGATACACTTTGCGTGATATGCGATGCAGCTGTCTCCACTGAGCCCCCATGAAATGGTAGCTGAGGTAGCATGAAGAGGGAAAATTATGTACTCAGGACTCTGCATAAAGTCTGGATTCATTCACCCATAATTCTATAAAAATCTGGAAAAACAGCTCCACCATCACATATTACAAACAACTACCATAGTACAACCAACTACTTTGATATATACAAACAAATACACCTCAAAGAACTGCAAACAAATATGAGCTTTTAAAAATATGGAACGTATGCTGAATAAGAACTTTTAAATCAAGAACTTCACTTAAAAGAATACTTCCCGTTTAAATACTAAAAAGAGGAAGATGAACAGGACTGAAACAGTATATCAGTACAGAAATGTGTGAGCTACAAGGACAAAAAAAGTCCCGGGATGATTTTTTTCATCTGAGTATTGCTAAAACTACAGGGGAAAAAAAAAAAGACAAAGCCTAAGAACATTTCCCTAGGTAGTCCTTAGTCTTCAAGTCAGTCCCTGCTCCTAAAACAAGCAGTGTTTGCTTTTCCATATTTGACTTCTCATCAGAGACCTAGGCCCTAAGTAGATGTTCTGCAGCACACAAAGCTCTTTGCTTCAAGTGAGGGATTGTTTCAGGCCTGATGACTTAGATAAGCAAAGAAAGGGGTGGGGGGACAAGGGGCAGTCAAGGAACAGAGGATCTTACTCCGATTTCGTGACAGGATTATAGCAGCATTCGTGTCTTAGTGCAGAGAAAAAAATAATTCACTTGAGTAAAAGAGGAATAAAGTGGGAGATCACGCATGAGAAAAAATAAGTTTACACTAAGTCAGCAATTATTTGTATCTATTCCTGTTACGCAACAACTAGCTGCATTCATATTCACGCCAATATCATCACTGTCTTTTACAGGGGGAGGGAGAGAAAAATAAAATGTCTCCACATACCTCTTCAAAGTGTGATGGGATTTCTAAAGGTGGCCGAGACCAATATTTAATTGTTTTGTGGTGTCTCCACAGAAGAAACAAACCAACTGCTACCAGATTTACAAAAAGTAACACCAACACAAATATTAGTATAATATATCCAGCTCTGGTTGCCTCTGAAAAAGAAAAAAAACAACCAGCATATACTATGGTAGGATCATATTTATACATTATCAAATGTAAAACAAAATACAGCAAGCTGAAATTTACTATATTGGTAATCAAAGTATGATTTCCGAGGCTAAGATCACAACTCCACTACAGATGCACGCTAAACGCCTGCGTTCAGAAGTAGCCTGTTTTGTGATTCCATGTGGAAGTCACCAGCTCCCACGGGCTTCTTCCCCTTAACCACACAGCCTAAGGCACGCTAGCAGGGCACGCGCAGAGCTGAAGGGATCGTGGCTGGCGGGCCCGGGGCAGGCGGGGAGCACAATCTGTCCTGCCACCCTCGAGCTGGCAGCAAGGGCGATTAATGCCAGGGGCTTCTCTTTCCGAACACGCGCCTCCCTTTGGCGAAGGGAGCATCAGAGACTCCAGCATCACAGCGTGGAGGCTTGTGATCAAGTACTTGGTCAATACTACCCGGGAGGTCAGCTCCTGCGCGGCTTCAGAAACCGCAGAAGCAGGTTTCATCTACACGTCTTCCAGTGAGTTCAAAGCACGCTAAAGACTGGCAGTGCCTATGTATTGGTGGTCACACAGAGAGATTCAAGAGAGAGACAAACTCCGTTATCTTGCACAGGCCCTCTCCCTGCGCCCCCATCTCTTATCTTGTACAAAAACACGGGGCTCGAAATGTCAGAGAAGGGAGCAGGTCAGAGAGGAGAGGGACCTTCCTCTTTGCAAGAGCAACACCATCTCCTTCATCAATGACTTCCTCTAAAGACCAAGTACTGGTATTTTCTTTCTTTGCATATTTCTAGAAAGTAATACTCAGAGCAGTATTTCTGAAAGAAAAGGATGAGGGGAACAGTACAACGCAGACCCTCAATTACTGACTGAAAAATTCCTCATTATTTTGCCATCAAGGACAATTGTGAACTACTATCGGTGGTGCTCTCTGAGCACTCCTGACAAATACAGCTATGTAACTGACCGGACTCATGTTCTACACTCATCCCATTACATACAAAAAATAACAAAATTTGATTTATACCACTAATTGTTGTTCTGTAGCACTCTGGGTCACTTTGCAGTCCAAGTAACTGGAGATCTGAATACGTCACCAATTCTACTTGAATACTAAAACAATAAAGTGTCAATTCCTTTAGATTTCTGATTTTGAACAGTGTATTGCTCATCTGTGTCTCCTGTTTAAAAGAAAAAAATAAAATAGCTGTTACTCTAAAACCCAGACCCGTCTTCAACACAAATTCCCCCCCCCATTGAATTTTCTCATTCAAAAAAGCACAGATTTTATTTTTCAGAATTCAGCTTACCCAAACAAGAGCAGCAGTGAAATATATTTCAACTTTCCTACTTGAATGCATTTGAAAATTCATTATTTTTAAGTGACATTTCGTTACTTTTAAATGAAATTAACCCTGACCATTTAAAATCATCTCTAAAGGCACGAACAGCAGAGGCATAAAAACTGATGCAAGGTCTCATTTTATCCACAACATGCTGCTGGATGCTTTGACACAGCTTCTGCAACAGCTCAGGCAGCGAGCGCAGTATAGGAAGGGGGAGGGAAAAACAAGCCATGAGAAGTGCCTCCACCACCAGAGGAGGCTGACAGAAGTGTAGTTCAGTGAAGAGCTTCCACCATCTCAGTTCCTTCTACTGGAGCGGTAAACAGCTGATGGGCAGTGCAAAACTTCCACAGGCTCCACACACCCACCAGCCTTTTGGGAATTTTTAACCTGTAAGGAGCTAGGATAAGGGCACTGGGGAAGCCTACAGAAGTACACAAGAGTGACGACTTGTCCAAATCTCAAATATGAAGGTATTTTACATGTGTCAGAAAAATACACATTGGTGCAAGAGAGGAAGGAAGTGGAGGCGTTTCAGATTTAGCAAGGTCTTTGAAAGAAAAGTGTTTTTTAAATAATTTTTTTTCTGCTTCTGTTTTTTAAACATTTGACTTTAGAATGAGGTTCTTTTGAATATTCTTCCTCTTTTTAATTTTTTTTTTTTTTAAATAAATGTAACAATCCCTCCCCTGCAATGCTGGCCTGTCAAGAACACAATTACCAGGGCCCCAGACAGCAGCATAGGAACACAATGAGACAACACCTCTAAGTCTCCGTATGAACAAGGACAGCTCATCCCAGCATGTTTCTAATAACTCTGCATTTCCTTGCCCTAGGAACAGGTGGCATCAGGCCAAAGCAGCCTGTTACTGAAGCTGCCAGCACAAACAAGCCCAGCACAGGAAAGGAAGAAGAATATTTCAGAGTTTTCCAAACTTTGGAATCTAAATGGCGTTTTAAAGCCACCTTTGACACTTTGTGGATTCTCTCCCTTGGTCTACAATCTGATTTAACCTTTGTTTCATATGGAGGAAAAAAAGATGGTTTTGAAAATTTCGTAATACATGTAATACTTGTGCCAAGACCAAATTAACTTTTGTCCAAGACACCAAATGGTGACCTTTACTGTTAAAGAAAAAAAAATTTACATTAGTTTTCTTCCTCCATTTCTGCAGTTTTGCCAAGAGACACTGACTCGTTTCTCTTAGTCACAAAGGCATTATGAACAAAATAAATTAGAATACATACTTTTTTAGTAGTACTTGTTGCGTTCTCCCAGTAGGACACATGATACTGAAGGAAGTCACCTGCTTCGGATCCGAAAGGGGGTGTGACACTAACGAGAAGCGAGTCAGAGCTTACAATCACGCTGTTCACTTTAGGGGGCCCTATAGTAGCTGAAAATAGACACAGAAAGAGCAGTGAACCTCTGGAATGTGCACAGCTCATCACACTGTCTCCAGCTTTACTTCGATACTCTCAGCAAACATGCTAAATATCGACAGCTGTTTCTCAAGAAAGGGAATATAACATTTTCTCATCTACTTAATGCATTAAGATACCTACTTTATCACAAATCAAAGGAAAAAGACTTGAAAGCATAAGTGATATTAGATAATTTCAAAAAGTTTCCTTTTTTTCAGTAAACATTCACTAGAATGTATCTGAATTTATCTGCAGTTAATGGTAATACAATTTTTTTTTCCCCTTCAAATAGCCTGCCACATACACCGTGTTCTCTAAAAAACATACTGTTCGGGTCAATAGATGGGAAGAGGAATAACTAGTTTCCCCCTCCTTGCTTTGATGTCTCCATTCATCCCAATACAGATTGTACTGGGTCTGGCTGAGATGCAGTTAATTCTCCCCACAGCAGCCCTCATAGTGCTGTCCATTGGTAGCTAGCAAGGTGTTGGTAACACATGTGTTTGGGCTACTACCGAGCAGTGCCAGCACACATCAAAGCTGTCTCTCCAACATTTCTTCCCCCCCACCAGCAGCAGGCTAGGAGCGGGCAAGATCTTGGGAGGGGACACAGCCAGGACAGCTGACCCAAACTGACCAAAGGGATATTCCATACCATATGGCATCTGCTCAGCAATAAGAAACTGGGAGATAGGGGGAGGAATAGGGCAGGGGCATTCCTTTTTTTTTTTTTTTTTTTACAACATTTGTCTTCCAGAGTAAGGAGTACGCGTACTGAAGCTCTGCTTCCCAGGACATGGCCGGACATCGCCTGCTGATGGGAAGTAGAGAATAATCCTTTGCTTTTTGCTTTGCTTCTGCACGCAGCCTTTTGCTTTGGCTACGTTAAACTGCCTTTATCTTGACCCATGAGTTTGGGGCTGGTTTTTTCCATCTTATTTTCTCCCCTCCCTGCCTTGCTGAGGAGGGGAGTGATAGGGCAGCTTGGTGGACACCTGGCGTCCAGCTGAGGTTAAACCACCACACAGGGTAAAGATGATGACTTCCTTTTGTGAAGTACTCTGAGGGCTGAATCATGACAAATATTATATAAAGCACTGTCAGTCCTAATACAAGAGACTTGTGCAATCACAGGTCATATATGGTCATTAGTCATTTAGCCTTTGTATCTTGCTTCCTTCACCAGTTAAGCTTATCAGTATTTGTAAAGTACTCCAGGATCTCAAAAAACCCACTTGTACAAATATTAGAGTAGTTAACAGCTGCTTGCATACTGAAGAGGTGTAACTTAAATCAATCCTTGTGTGTAATCATTGCTTATTGTACCTCCAAAAAACTAGCAGAACCTGCTCTGCCCACTTTTACTTTAGAGAAAGTTGGCTCCCGAGATCTTTATGTCAGTAGAGAAACTTAGTTTCTTTCTACTCGATGTTGCTATACAACTGCAAACACTTTGTTGTGTGTCCTTGCAAATTCCAAAAGCTCCCCTGTCAAGTGGGACTGATCCAAACGTTAAAGGAAGAGAATAGCCCCACTGAGTAGCCCATGGTCTTGGAGTCCAGGAACTGATCTTGAGGGCGATCATACATCATAATGTTCCTCTTGGTCCCCAAACAACAGACACACAAACATCTCTCCCACACTGAGCCTCTCCTTTGTCTTGTTCCCATCAGCCCAGTGCTCTCCTAACCCCCAAAGGATCCCCCTCCCAAACAATCCTGCATCACAAGCCACGGATATGTCAGTTGTAAATTTCAATGCAGGATTCAGGCAATTCCTCACACTCTACTACTAAAGAAATTCCAAGATTTAGAACTGAAGTCACCAGGGAAAGTATCACACTCTGCAGCATGGACCACCACTGCTCCTCACAAGGTATGGGAGAATGTGAATTAAAGAGTTACTAAATCCATTCCTCTGCTTCATTATCATTTCAGAGGTATTTTAACACTCAACATTTACTTTTATCTATTTCTAAAACCCATCATAGCAAGGCAAAGAGCAGATCTTGTAAAGAACAACAATACAGTTGTTCACACATTTAGGAGGATTTAAAGTGTGCCCTTCACCATTCTACACTGTAGTTAGGACAGTTTGTATTTAACAGAAAAGGGATCTGTTCAATAGAAACAGGTAGTTTGTACTCAGACTACCACATATCAAGGGGGTGTACGCGTGCATGCAGTAGTGCTAACTGGGGAAATAAGAAAATGGAAAACTCTCTAACAGAATAGACATTGTAGTTCTTATAAGGCTTAACCACTCAAGGAAACTCATCTGTTTCTCTTTTGATACCTGTTGAAAGAGCGCACTGCTAACCCCACTACAGAGGGACTAAGTAGCTTCAAATTCCTAGTGACACACCAAGGCCTTGTAGTCTTCGTTAACCAAACACCTACAATTCTCTCACTTGGCTTTTGTACATAATAGTCAAAAAAGTCTAGAACAGACAACATTTTTTCCAAAGAAATTTCCTTTGAAGAGAGACTGAAATCATAAATAGCACTTACTGTTTCTCTCTGCCACAAATGGATCTGTTTGCACCCAGTCAGAAGTCACTTGCCCTAGCTCAGCCCTCACCCGCAAAACAACAGTCCAGCGCCGCTCCTTAAGTGACCAGGGGAAACTGCATTCAGTTTGGGTGATACGAGTGCAGTTCATCTCATCCCACTGGTTAAAGGCCCCTCTGCAACGCGAAACACAGGACAAATGAAGCATCAGCAGAACAGTGCAACTACCTAAAATACAACCCATCCCACGTAGACAGTTTTTGTAGCAAAAGGATGTGTTACAAAACTACCACTGTGATGTGGATTTAATCCGCAGCCCTTTCAGCACCTTCATCTCCTCGATATCTGGGAAAAAATTAAAAATGAGCAAGAAGGAATTTGGTAAGGGTAAAATTATACAGCAAACTATGCCGCATTTCTGGATGCTCTTCAGGTCTTCAATCTTTTCTCAGTTTAGCAGATATATCACAGGGTAAGAGATTGTCAGTCTTTAGAAGCTGCTTTTGGATATACATAAAAGCATCTGTAACAGACAACTCTTTCTTTCTTTTCTATGCTTATTCATTTTTAGTTTGTTTGTTTGTTTGTTTGTTTTAAAACCAGTTGTGTTACTGGATTAGAACAAAATCAGTTTGGTTGTTTGTAGAACTAGTTACTTACGTTTTAAAATGGACTGTATATAACACCAAGCCTCTATCCACTTTAACAGGGGACCACCTCAGCAAACTATGAAAGTTATAGGAATAAATCATCACGTCCTTTGGTGCCGGTAAATGTGGAGAAGATTCTAAAGTAAGAAGAGGAATAAAAATAATTTTTGAAACATTCAAGTACACAGTAACTAACTTTTGATCGCTAAATTCAATCACCATACATTACATTTTCACTGTTTTGCAGGCAAACCCATTCCTCCTCCTCATTCCATTTCTAGGTGTGCTAGTAGCGGTACATTGAAGACACTGCTACCCACAAAGCACTGAATTGCAACTTAATGCTTTTATTTATTCCATACAGAACGTAACACTGAAAGTACAGGGTCCAGCACAAGACTATAAACCCACCCAGCTCCCCCATGAGGCTGTAAATTAAGGTCCACAACCACTTGTCTACTACAAAAGCTCATCTATTTCAATTGTCTGCATCTCACATTTTACTGTGTTAACAACTCAGAACACATTTTTCCTGACCTGAGCAAGATCTGCCTCTTGCTAACTTGTTTGAAAACACCAAGTTCACTTCACTGAAACTTTCCAGAAAACAGCTGGAAAAAAAAAAAAAAGCGTGCCTTCTCATACTTAAACATTCACCAACACACAGTGCACTGTTCCACTTGCATGCCTCAAGTTTTGTCAGTTTTGAAATCGATTTCACAATGTAGAAGAGGGCACACCTCTAACAGAGGTTCCTGTCTTCTGGCTAGTAGGAATGCCCACCCAAATTTGGTCACGTTATAAACTCCTGGGGGTGAAAAAAGACCGCAAGTGCTCTCGAGTAGCTTGTCAGGAGGCGAGCAATATGGAAACGGAGAGCAAAGAGTTGTGTCTCCAGTAGGGAAGAAGAGCCACTTCTCTGCTGGCCCATGCAAGGTGGAGGAGGAAGCCCTCTGTTGGGACTGGAGCACAGCCAAAGGCCAGGCACCGAGCCGGGGGCAGAGGGGTAGAAAAAACGAGTGGAGGGAGAGAGGAAGGGCAGCCAGGTAACAAAGCAAAAGGCAGAGAACCAAGGGCTGGGGAAACGGGGGCGGGTGAAGCAAAGAAAGGCAGATGAGAAGTTAAGCGGGGGAGCAGCTGGAGGGAGGTGTTAGCTGGCAAAGAGGGCAAAACAGCCGCCTGGAGAACCAGAAAACACTTAAAGACAAGGAGACCAATGGCAAGGAATTGGGATAGCCAAAAGAAAGAGACTAAGATTACCACAAGTAGGCTGAGGCGAGGGAGACAGGAAAAGGCAGTTATCAAATGCCTTTAAAACCAGAAAAGCCTCACACTTTTAACCACAGCACTGCAGTCACTCGGGCAGGAAGGGCCCTCAGGAGGTGTCCCAGCCCAAGCCCCTGCCCGGAGCAGGGCCACCTCTGGCATCAGCCCAGGCTGCTCAGGGCTTTCTCCAAGGACAGAGCCCCCACAGCCTTCTTTGGGAATGTGGGGACAATGTTAAAAAGTTTTTGTCTTTTTGATTTGTACATCTGATTTTGTTACACGTGCTGTGTAACTATTTGTTACACTGATGCCGACAGCGCTATCTTTCAGAAGAGACGTCATGCCAGGCTCTTGACATCCTCCACGTACAGGAAAGAGATGACACAAATCACAATAAAGTTGCATCAAACCCAAAGTCCAAAATACAAAATAACTAGTTAAGCCCTCAAAGTTTTAATTAGGTATGTTACTAGTTTCTTAGCCTCAACTTTTGAGTAGTGGTCTTAAATAAACACACATTACCTTAGGCTACAGAGGGATCATTCAGCATTGCAAGCCTGTTTTGAGATTCCTTACAGTCACAAATGCTACCTAACCTATAAATCTCTCATGTATTTTAAAGGCCACCAAGTAAGCTTTTCTTCATTCAAGACAGGTTTTCACTTTCCAGTCACTCAGATTCTTTCTAGCGTTCTCACTGCTGGTCTGGCATGTGGCAAGGTATCTCACACCATCAGTAATCTGTGCACTCAGACATCCGATACAAACTAATTTTACAAAATTCAAGAAAGCTGTCAGAACGAAAGACAAGCACTAGCATTTTTTTTTGTCTCCTCTCCCACTTAAAAAAAAAAAGAAAAAAGAAAAGGAAAAAGCAATGAAGGATGAGGGCAGCTGGTTCATCTTTTCCTCAATCAGGACCACAAACTGATTATTTTACTTTGTATTAGCATTCAGAAACAGATCTGTGAGTCTGCAGTTGAACATCAAGGTGCTCACTACTGCAATGAGGAACTGGGTCCCTAGCATACCATGGGAGTGCAATCATATTTCAGTTAGATAACTTGACAAGGGAAGTTACTTACATTTCTGAAATCACACACTGAACTCTTTAACGATCATTAGTTTGTATGAACTAAAGTAACAAAATGCACACTTCAGAAAAAAACACCTACATATATTGCAAGTATCCTAGAAAACCCCAACTACCTTAGCCAGGGAAAGGCAGAAATGCCCCATCCTTTCTGTCTGTCTGGAAGGTGATCTCACAGAACCGGTTCTTTTAAAGCACCTGCCACACAATGCTCAGATTTTTTCCTGATGCAGAGACTTCCTGACTCTTCAAGCCGCAAGTCAAAGCTTTCACATAGCAGAGTGTGAAGCCACAAGTTACAGTGAGTGAAAGCAGCTCAGCTTGGCCTAGCCGTCAGTTTCACAGCCTCTGCTCCAGCTCCTGAATGATTTCTGATCCCCTGCATCAGCCCAAGAACACATCATTTTGCTAAACTGGCCAAAAATAAGTCTACGTGTTTTTTTTGGATGGACTGTTGCTGTTCTAGTGTACAAAACTGGCTTCTCATATTGTCAGACAAGCACCAAAGCCTGTAAAAGGTGAAGAGCAGAAGCATGTGTCCAGGCGGGGACGTGTGACAACAGCTGGCTATTCTTTTGGCTCAGGTTTTAATGTGTAGCATCTACATTTGCAACAGAAGAAGCTGCACTGTGCCTACCAGCAAGAGAGTGCAGATGGGGGGGGAAGCACATGCCAAACACCAGAACAGCTCCCTGGGGAATCCCGCTGCTGCCGATGGGATGGGACTGGGCCACGCTGACTGCTGTGGGTCCCCTGGGCGCGCCTCAACCCACGCATGGGCATTTGGATTCCCAAGTTTGGCCATGGACTGCAGGCCTGGAACAGGAGCTGCCCCCAAACAGCTGGAGAGCCCCACGGCGATCACCAGTCATGGGCTGGCCTGCCAGGCCTTGATGAACACAAGGAAACGTGACAGCGGACGCTCAACTCATGGACGTGCCTGTGTGCCTGAATAAGGACCACGCTGTACGCATATCTCATTCAAGATACATCACTGCAGCTCTTCCACACTTGCTGGGATACGTACTGAAGCCAGGATTATACCCATGAGCTATAGCTCAGACCCGACCTGAAGAGCAAACCCCCCCACATTATGGCAAAGCATTTACATGGAAGTCTAAATCCAATCCTAGCCAAACCCGTCAATTCACAAAATTAAACGGAGGAGGCTCAAGCAGAGTCGATGATGTGGCTGTAGTTTGTGATGTGGCAGCCATTCAGTGACTTATACCCTATCAACCTCCGTCAAGGCTGAACCCGTGCAGGTTTTAGCCGCTCTCTCACAGACACTCCGGTTTGGGGCCACGCCACCCGTTTGCAGCTGGCCGTAGGGCCTGCCGCGGCCCGGGACGTAACCCGGTGGCAGCCCAGACGCCGGCAAGTTTTCTAGGAGCAGCAGCCCCGGGGTCGGCAGGAGAAACACCAGGGCTTGTCCTCCTTCTGAAGGCCAGGCAGAGCCGGGTTGAGGAAAGGGTGAAATCCGCGACAGCCCCGCTCTCCCCGCTTCCGCCCCACCCCATCTGCGGCTCCGGCACCCGACGGGGC